CGAAACGTTTGCAAGAAAACCTCCAAGCTCAGAGACCCCCAAGGACTCCACTTTAGCATCTCTACGTGGCTGAAAAATTCGAGCGGTTGTAGCATTTGGTTTTCCACCAGAAGGGGCGACGTTTGGAGGAGAGGCAGACATGATGAAATTGACTTGAAGATTGACGTTTCCAAACTACCTTAAACACTTTTGTTGAAGTGTTTGTTACTTTTGTATTTGGGGAAAAGATTGCTATGGATCTTTATTAGCCAGAATAATCTGTAGAAAATTGGGGCAGCAGGTTCGGGGGGGGGGCAAAAGGAAAGGGTGTTCATGGTCATAAGGAGGGTGGCCCCCCAACACGAACATGGTAGAACCGATGCAAAGGTTGGAATAAATGAAGAAGAGCTCTGGTTTCACTGCCTACAACAGGGCTACGTTTCCATGATACCCTTATCAGTGGTTACCTTTATCATGGTTTACTCAATTAACCCAACATTCTGGGCCTCCCTGGGATCCTAGGTTGAAATATGATTGGCTCCTTTGTGGTTCAGGGTGTGTGTGTGTGTGTGTGTGCCTAGCCCCTGCAGTGTTCTTGGCAACGTTTTCAGAAGTGGCTTGCCCTTGTGTTCTTCTTCCTGGGGCTGAGCGAGAGAGACTGGCCAAGGTCGCCCAGCTGGTTCTGGCCTCAGGCCGGGCTAGAACTCATGGTCTCCCGGTTTCTAGCCTGGGGCCTTAACCACGAGACCAGCGCTTCCCAACCCCAGCAGCTTGAAGAAGGGTGGACTTCAACATGCTGGCTGGGGAATTCTGGGAGTTCAAGTCCACCCATCTTAAAGTTGCCAAGGTTGAGAAACACTGGTACAAATAAAAACCTCCATGGAAGGAGAATGTGTGTGTGTGTGTGTGTGTGTGTGTATAAAACCCTGATTAATCTGGGTGACCTATCGCAGACCCTTTGGAATAACTCCATTTTCAGGCGTTTCTGGAGGCTAGGACCATGGGAGTTGACTGAATTTGAAGGGATTGAAGTCCACCCATCTTAGAGTTGCTGAGGTTGAGAAGCAGTGCACTAGACCATACTGGCTCTCTTTGTGGGTCAGTAAGTGAAAGAAGGAAAAAAGAAACAGAAAAAAACAATACAATATAACCTATGTAGAGGCTTCTCATTCATGTAAGGTATTTTACACAACAGTTTCAATAAAAGCTGATCGTATTTCCTTGTAATCATCAATACATAATCTGTGTTTGGTTATTGTGACCAATCTCCAGTTTCAGCTTTCCTGTGGAGTTCATGGTTGGGTCTACTAGCGGGCTGACTTCAGTGCTGCAATCTGATGGCGCTGGACCGCCTCCTCCTCCTTACAGTTCAGTGAATTAGGGAGGGGTCTGTCTGAGCTTCTTCCACATGTTGTCTTGGCGTTCTGGACTTAAGAAATCTTTATCCCCGTTGCCTAGGCAACCTCTTTTGCATATCTCCATCAAGATGATCTGCTTTACTCTCTACAGTAACCAACTCATAAATCGCAAGTAACATCAAGTCTCCAATGTACTGATTAATTGAATTAATCTTAATCTTTCCAAAGCTGAAGGAGTCATCTCTTAGCAATAAGAAGGACATGGAGGATCTGGAGGAAAGCCCACTTTCCATAAGATAGGGATATCGTTTAAAACAATAAACTATAAAATCAAGTTAATAAATGTGATTACTCCTTCCCAGAACATAATAATTTTAGGATACCACGAAAGCATTATTCTCTTTGTATCTCCAACAATATGAGGAGATCAGATTGGTCGGGCATGATTTATCCTTGACATGCCCATCCTGGCTTCTGCCAAGCAATACTTTCTTTCGTAAATGCTCGCAAATCAAAGCGCTTAATAACCTGTTCTGGAGTTTTGCCCAGTGTGATGTGCAGGAGTCACTGTTGATCAAAGAGGCTCCCTCCTTAGTTGCCAAAAATCACATCTCTTTCATCAAGCTCTTGTCTGTTAATTGATCCTAATTACGCTGATTTTAATGTTGTTTGCCTTTGAACTGATTTTACAGTTGTATTTGTTTTAATGTTCAAAGCCGTTTGAATGCTTATATTAAGCAAAAAGGTAGGATATGGTTTTAATAAATGGATAAAATTGCTTGCATTCGCTCTGAGTTGGAAGCTGGATGGGCAGAATCTCTTGAGATGACCAAGGTGATGTTTGATGATGTTATCTGGGCGGCTCCTGTAGAGCAGTGTTTCTCAACCTTGGCTACGTAAAGATGTGTGGATTTTAACACCCAGAATTCCCCAGCCAGCATGATTGGCTGGGGAATTCTGGGAGTTGAAGTCCACACATCTTCAAGCTGCCAAGGTTGAGAAACGCTGCTCCAGGAAGTAAACAGAATCCTCTGCAATCTTTGCATTGCCATTTGTGGACTGGACCCCTCCCCAGCTGCTAATTACAGTTTTCCTTATCCAGTTTTATTTATCCTGTATGTTTTCATTGAAATGTTAATTTTGATTTTTTTTTTTTTTTGCTTTGAATTGAGTTTTTAAAGTCTATTTCATCTATGTGGCCTTAGAGGGGTTTCTTGGAATGTTAAAGAACTTAGATGCTCTTCCAAGTGAAGGCAGATTCTAACTATTGGGTAATTTTAAGCTTGTTTTTTTGGTTTTAATTCTTAGAAAACTCATATCCTTCCACTCAAGAAGGATTCTTTAAAATAAAAGATGGGTATGTCAAAATAGCTGTGAGCAATCATTCAAATTTGGCTAGAGGAGTAGCAATGCCATAAATAAACTGTCAAAATTTGTTGTGGAACAAAAATAAGTGATTCAAAAGGATATATCCGTTATTGTGGTCCAGCTGAAGACCCACCGGATGTTTTCCTCATCTTCTGTAGTCTGATAGATTAGATAATTATGGCTGACGATTTTAGATTAAATCATGTTTTGACCCTTTGTTTGAAGGAAATAGGATTTTCTTTCATGAAAAATGCTGCAAGCATATTCAACAGAATTAATTTGGTGAATATGGTGACATATTCACCACAATGGATTTTTTTTTTAAAATACTCATAAAACTTGTTCCTAACTTGATTATTTGGGAGGTTCATGAACTTCAAGGTTCAAGAACATTGGGCTGATAATTGTAGCACACTTTCTATTGTAAGATGTATTCATTTATTTATTTGAGCAATTTATATAGCTGCTTATCTCCCCAAGGTTACTCTAGGTGGCATACAAACTGTGTTAACACAGCTCTAATACAGTTTATAAAATCAGTATTCAGAAAACAATAACACACACATCAAAACAACCATTCCACTTATTATTTATTTATTTTATTCAGTTTGGATGCTGCTCAACTCCAACCAACTCTGGGTGGCTCTCGACAACAAAATACAGAAAATTAACCAAAACAAGTGCAAAAATAACTACAAAAATAATAAGATGATTAAATCAGTGAAATTATAATTAAGCAATCAAGCAGCAGGCCTACTTAACTCCCCAACTTAAATGCTTTGGGGGAACATCCAGATCTCTAACATCTTATGAAAGGCCAACAGGGTTGGGGACATCTAGATCTCCAGGAGGATGTTGTTCCACAGGGCAGATGCAGTGGCAGAAATGCCATATCTCCTGGGTCCTGCAAGATGACACTGTTGAAAGGACAGGACCTGGAGCTTGCCAACTTTGGTGGGGCAGGTAGAGACAATCAGAGACAGGAGGTCCCACAAATAACCTCATCTTGTGCCATGGAAGGTTTTATAGTTTGATCAATTGTATCAATTAATATTATTAATTGTTTTAACGAAGTGTCATTCTACAAGCCCAAGATGGATGATCCTTATTAAACGATTTAAAATTCATCAAGTAGAAGAAACAAAAGTTTAAGGACATTTTATACAAGTAAACATCCTATGAATTTATGGGATTGATTGGTTGATTGATTGATTGATTGATTGATTGGAATTTGAGGCCACCCAACTCCAAAAACATTCCGGGCAACTTGCCATATTTAAATACATCATTTAAGAAACATGGCCACCCAGACAAAACCACATCAGTAACATTCAGAAAAGATTCAACAGGGGCTCCATAAACACAAAAGACCTCCACCCAGCCCTGGGAAGAGAGCCAGATCTTAAGGGGGGATGCTGCTGCAGAGGGCAGGGGCCATGACAGAGAAGGCACCTTCCTTGGTCCCACAGTCAAGAAGACAACTTGGATGGAGATGAGAGAGAAGTGACACTCAAGCCCAAACTATGTAAGGGGAGGAGGAAATGGCTCAGGCAGACACCTCCTTGGTTCACAGGAGTATAAGTGGGGGGTGGGAATAAAGCACCATCAGACTTGCAAGATTCTGCTACTATAGCCACTGTAATAGAGTAGAAAGAAAGTGGGACTGTAGCTCTTTGAATACCATAAAGATTCTCATTAGAGTATGCAAATTAACCTGACAATTTACATTTTGCAGAAGTTAGACTAGGCTTCACTTTACTTCTTGTTGAGATGCCAGTAGCTGACATGGCACGCGAGAGCACGCTCGGCTTGTGGTTATCGATCCTCCTCTTACGGGCTGGTGAGTTGTGTTTCTGTTAAGATACGGCATTTCTGGCTTTCGATGCAGTTGCGGACCAGGACTGGGGCTCTAAACGTGGCGTGTTTCCTTGAGTTCCTCGAGTTTACTGGAACCCAAGAAATAGATGTGAAGCTCTGGAGGAACGTGCCTCCCACCCAGAGAGCTGAGCTGGAGAAGAACTTCAAGAAAAAGGCAGAGAATATTGAAATTACAAACTCCAGCAGAGGAAGTGGAAGATATTTTCCCCCTTTTCCTTTACAAACCGTAGGAAACATAAAGATAATACCA